GACCCCCGGGGCGCGGGGGGGAGGGGCGGTGCCACCGGGGGTCCCTCAGAATCCGTCGGGGTCCGCGGTGGGGGGCGGGGGGGTCCCGGCCGTGCTCGGGCGGTGCCGGAGGGACTTCTCCTCCTCCTGGGGGGACATCGGGGACATTGGGGACATTGGGGACACAGTGAGGACATTGGGGACACAGTGGGGACACAGTGGGGATATTGGGGACACCGTGGGGACATCGGGGACACCGTGGGGATATTGGGGACACACTGGGGACATTTTCTGGACACTGGGGTGGGGACAGGTCACACCTGCGGGGTCCAGGTTGTCCCCAAGGCCACCAAGACCCCCTTAGGACCCCAAAAACCCCAAACCACCAAACCCCATTTTTGGCATCCCCCACGCCTGGGCTCGGGATCCCCTTGGCACCCCCCACCCCCCATTTTGGGGTCCTCCCCGGGTTTTGGGGTTCCCTCCCCCCTTCTCTGGGGTCCCCCCAGTTTTGGGGTCACTCACGGCCTCGGCGCTGCCCCACTCGGCCGCGTCCTCCTCGCCCCGCAGCGACTCCGGGCCCTCGTCCTCGTACTCGGTCAGGTAATCGGACTCCTCTGGGGAGGGGGCGTGGGGTGAGCCCCCAGACCCAAATCCCAGCCCCAAACCCCAGCCCCAATTCCAGCCCCCAAATCCCAGACCCAAACCCCAGCCCCAAATCCCAGCCCCAAATCCTGGCCCCCAAACCTCAGATCTCCACCCCCAGCCCTGACTCCACACCCCCGGGGTGTCCCCTCCCCGTCCCTGTGCTGTCCCCTCCCTGTCCCCTCCCTGTCCCCTCCCTGTCCCCTCCCTGTCCCCGCTGTCACCGTCGCCGTAGCCGTCGGACAGGTAGGACTGGGCGGGCTCGATGCGCGACACGATCTCAGCCAGGTCCGTGAAACCGGCACTGGGACAGGTGAGCACCTGAGGGGACACCTGAGCACCTGAGGGGACAGAGGGGACAGGAGGGGCACACGGAAGGGACCGATGGGGCAAAGGACGGACAGGACAGGGACCAGGGGGACAAAGGGTGACAAGGAGGGTGACAGGAACAGGGTGGCAGTAACAGGAAGGTCACCCAAGAGGTGACACCCCTCAAAGGACAGTGACAAGGCTGGGGAGGCCCCTCCCACGGTGAGCCAGGGAAGGTCCCCAATGAGCCACCACCCTCCATGTCCTGCCATACCCCTCCCGTGTCCCCAGGTGTCCCCACGTGTCCCCAAGCTCACGTCCATGCGTTTGCTCTCGTAGAAGTCGGCCGAGCGCCGGTCCTTGACCATCTTCTCGATGACGTCCCCGCGGCTCCAGCCCTCGAACACCACCTTGCCGTGCTGGTAGCCAACGTCCTGGCGGGCAGGGGACAGTGGGCAGGGGACAGGGGACAGTGGGCAGTGGACAGTGGCCCGGACACCCCCAAGATGGCCCAGGACACCCCAGTGATGACCGGGGTGCTCAATTAATGGTCAAGGACACCTCAACTGATGACCAGGACACCCAAGTGACAGTCAAGAACATTCAACGGATGGTCAAGGACATCCAGTGATGGCTGGAGAACCCCAACAATGACCAAAGAACCCCAAAAATGACCAAAGAACCCCAATGATGGACAAAAAAACCCAACGATGACCAAAGAACCCCAAAAATGACTGAAGAATCCCAACGATGACCGAAGAACCCCAACCCACGTCTGGAGCCCCCCAGCCCAACGCCCCCGAGCCACCCCCAGCCCCAACTCACGTAGATCTCATCGAACTTGCCGAAGTCCATGGTCTTGAAGCGGTCGATGGGCGGCCGGATGTACTCGCAGTACGAGCTGGACTTGACCACCTCGAGCTGCCGCACGCAGGACACGTAGGCCAGGCGCGACTGGATCTCCGCCATGTCCGGCACCTGCCGGGACCCGACACTCGGGACGCGCCCAGCACCTCGTCATCCTCATCATCATCGTCATTGTTATTGTTGTCATTGTTGTTAACATTATTGTCATCCTCATCATCATCGTCATTGTCATTGTTGTCATTGTCGTTATCATTATTGTCATCATCATCATCATCGTCATTGTCATTGTTGTCATTGTCGTTATCATTATTGTCATCATCATCATCATTGTCATGATCATCATCATCGTTGTCATTGTCATCGTCATCATTGTCATCATCATCGTCATTCTCATCATTGTCATCATCGTCATGATTGTCATCCTCGTCATCATCGTCGTTGTCATCATTGTTGTCATTGTCATCATTGTCATCATCATCA